AGACATTTGTTTAGGGATGCTGATGGTAAAGGATTTAAGAACACTGACATTTAGTGGGAACCAAGGCATCGATTTCAGAAAGAAGCTAGTATAGAGTGGACAACAAAGAAGGAAATCCCTCACCAAAGCTCCATACAGGCCAGAGGAAATGAGCAAGACAAGACAAGGAAGTGGCTGTTCAAGAACTCTAGGAAAGCCAAATAGAAAGTGAGCCATGCCTACATGCTTTTTCACAGGGATCATTGGTGATTTTTGACAAGAACTGGAGAGGTGAAATGCTGGGGTGCAGAGGGGAGTCCTGCTCTCAGTCTTAAGAGTTGTGTTGGAGCTAAAGAAATAGATATGGATCCTTGTCCTAGGAAAGAGACAGTATATTGGGGGGGGGATTGTAAGTTAGTTGGTGAATAATTGAGCATTTTAAGAGTTTAAAAATATACTTTGTAAATCAAGTAAGGCACTATGGAGGCTGCTAATCCACCCCAGAAAGTCCTTGAGTTAGGTAGATTGGAGGTAGACATGGACACTAGCTCTCAGGTGGGTCAGTTTCATTGCTGGGAAGTAGGAAAAGCAGTGTGAACAGCTATGGTTGCAGGTAAGTTGTGGGTGGGAAGTGTTGGAAGCTTCTGACTTCTCTACTGAAAGAATGAAGTAGGAAATAGAGAAGGGGAGGACTCCTAGGAAGTACAGGAGAGGAGAGGAAGAAGGAGAGTGGTTTAAGAGCTGTTCAAATGGAGACAGAATTTACACAGCACATGGGGAGCACAACCTTCTGTTGTTCCCAGCACCAACATCACTTTCTCAGAAGTCTGTGAAACAGATACCTTTTGCCCATCCACAGCACTCGGTTCATGCAGAGGACAACATTATAGTTTTGTGCTGTGTACGCTCTCATCGTTTCTCGTATGAGAATTCAGAGGTTCTTGAAAGATGATTCTCAGATATTTTTCCATCATGTCTCCCCCATTCTGTCATTGTGTTTCATATCAGTCATTCCCAGCAAATGTTGGTTGTGCTTTTCAATTTCTGAGCTGAGCGTGGGTGCTGTGACACAAGGATGGGTCCTCTGTGCAGCTCCGCAGCTGGGTGAGGCTGTGGTTTGGGATAGGTAGTGTTGGTCCTCTGTGTTCATGGAACTCCCCAGGGCTAATACTTTTGGGCATTTGATAGAATACAGTGTTGCTTTTTAATTTGCTGATTTTTATTGTAACTCTGGCATAATTCCTGGTTAAATTTATAATCTGATTCAGATTGTTCTCAGTGTATCTTGTTTATTGGGCATTTTCTTGTGTGTGTTATCTGTGGTTCTTTGTTTACTCCAGCATTTCCCATCTTTCCTTCCCTTTGCTGTTTCCTCAGGAAGCATCAGTCAGGCTGTAGTACTTAGAAGGTCTGAGTTTTGTTGATGGGTTTTGTCATTCTTGTTTTAATTTTCCAGTACTCAACTACTTGAGCCACACTTCTTACCCTTTTGGATTTTAGTTTAGTTTTTAGGTAGTGGCTCATGCTTTTTGCTTAGGATAGCCTCCTACCTGTGCCTCCCAAGTAGCAGGTCTTACAGACGTGTGTCATTACAACTGGCTGCTTTGCTGAGATGGAGTCTCATTAACTTTTTGCGGAGGCTGGCCTCAAAGCACAATCCTCCCCACTACTCTCTTGAGTAGTTAGGATTACAAGCAAAAGCCACTGTGCCCTTCAGCTACTGAGTAGTTTTGTTTTTGTTTTTTGTTTTTAAATAACACAATTTTAGTGAATGAAGTTCTAAGTAATATCATGTTTGGACTACCCTTACTTACTTAATTACTAGGGTAAAGGTTATTCAAGTTATATCCAAGTCAGTGTTACTTTCAGTTTTTTTTAACAGTACTTATTTTAAACTGCTTCCTTCGTGGAATCTTTTTAGTAGGAGAAATAATGCAGTGCAGTTAGTTCTTTCTCTAGCCGTTAGAACATTTCGTTTTTGAGGAGAAGTTGTGACATTTTGGAGTGTTTGCCAGCCACTTCTTCCTCTGAGCCTCCTCAGAAAGTTTGATAGAATGACGGAGCTTCACTGTGGCTTAACTAAAGAATAATTTCTAAATTGCCCATACAAAATAATCTTTACATTTTGAAATGACTCATACAAATATAAAATGAACCTGTGGAGAGTTTGATTTCAGACCTTAATTAAAGATCAAACCAGCAGGAAGAAAAAAAAACCATCTTACTGGGAACTTAGAAGAGCAGACACATTTATAGGCAAGCAGTAATGCTGAAAGGAATTTTACTCATGGATACAAAATTAGTCAATAGCCTCAAGGCAGTAAAATGAAAACATGTTTTGGAATCCTCTTCCCCTGGAAGGAAGACAGTGCAGAAGTAAAATTTGTATCTCTGTGGATACTAATCATTTGTATCACCTTTAGATTTCAACACGTTACAAAATCCTAAGAGTCCAGATTGAGTGGCCAGTGGGAGAGGATCCAGGCCTTCAGAGAAAGCAGTTACTTCCTAAGCATCTGTTAGTGCGCACTCGGCCACCCCACCGACGGGACATCCAGCCGAATGTGTTTGCCCCTTTCAAAAGCGTTCACTGTATTTCCCACCACTTGCCTTCCTTTGTGCTTCCAACGCCATCTCCCCTTGCGCACGCTAGTTTCTCTATCTCAATTCTTCTCTCAGGGGAAATAATTCACAACTCCAAGATTTTGGAGAGCACAATTGGAAGTCCAGGTTTTGCCTGGGGCTTCTTTCTATTTGGGTAGTTAGAAATAAAAAGAGATAAGCTGGATGCCCATAGGCGGATTCAAACAGCAAGTCCTCAGAAGTATATGAATTTGGCTCAGTCAGAGAAGGTCCAGAACATTACGTTAAGTGCCACATTGCCTAGTTGTTATAGTATGGCTTTATGTTTTTATAACATAGCATTGCTTAGGAATGTTGCAAGTATAGGCAAGTGCATGCGTGCCTGTATGTTTTTTCTTAGGGTGCTTATTGTGGGTCTAGGGTGTCACCCAGTGTTCAGTTCTGATCCTTTTACTAATAGAGTAAATCATAGCATAGAAAAGGGAATCACTTAATGTTGATACCAGAAAAAGGCAGTACTATGATTTTTACCTGAGGTTTTTGACCGTGGTCCAAATTGTATTCCATTGTGCATTCTTGTATTGAGTGCTTCAACTCAATGGGTATTTATTGAACAATAACTATTCCTTGAATGCAAACATCCCATGTCTGTGATTTTAATTACAGTTTATATATAGAAGGAAGAAATTGTGTGTGTGTGTTTCTCTCTTTTTCTCTCTCATCAGTACTTCAGTTTGAACTCAGGGATTCAACATTGTTCAGCTTTCTGTTCTGGTGTGTGACTTCCCACATAAGCCATGGCTCCATTCTAGTTTTTTTGCTAGTTAATTGGACATAGACTCTCAAAGACTTTTCTGTTTAAAAAGTCCTTGGCTTTGAACTATAATCCTCCAAATCTCAGCCTCCCAATTAGCTTGAATTACAGGCATGAGCCACTAGAACCCAGCTAGAAGGAAGAGATCTTAAAGATGAGCTGTTACCTAAGTTAATGTCCTATTTATATTTGAAGGAAACTGTCAACTACCTACTTAGAGAAAAGAGTTGCTAAATGACTAAATAATGTGGACAACTAGAGTTTCTCCACATTCTTGTGCATTGTAGTTGAATGGTGAGTGCTTATATTTAGTTACTCATCCTGTTTTCTATAATGCTGGTAATTTCTGTCATTGATGAAGAACCCTCCTTCCTCCCAAACCGTATTAGTATGTATGTGCTCTTGGTTTCAACTTAATCCTTGGTTTTCTGAGTGGTTCAGGTTTCAGAGAGGAAGAAACAGCTCTAATTTACCTTTGGAAATTGCCTGTAGCTCAGTAAAACATGGAGCTGGGAAAATGTCATTCAATTGTATGTAATCCTTTGTAAGACTTGTATACCAAACATCTGTTGCTATATATTTTGCAGTAGGGAAATAGCCACAGAGAATATTTTTTTCTTATTAGTATTCTCAAGAGTTTTCATCCTGGTGGAAAGATGTGATTTGATTCATCTGACTTACTTTGTATATAAACTACAGTAGAACTGGCCACCTTTTTTTTTTTTTGAAATGCAACATGAGGGAAGAGATAAATTTCATATCAGTTTAACAAGTTCTATTTAGAAGAAGTATATAGAAGTTGAACAGAATATAATGCTTTAGTTTGCTTTTCTGTTCAAATATTTCCATGGTAAGGACAGTATTTTTCTGACTTATATCAGTAGGCAGAAATGATTACTTCAGAGCTTTCAAAGCTAGATGCTATACCTTGCATGTTCTAACACAATTGCTGAGTTTACTTCCAAGATTCATGGTAATGTATAGTTTCTATGTCTGAGAATGATAAGGAAGTTACAGTGTTGTCTACCAGCTGTGCATGTTAATATGGAATGATTTTTTTTAATCTTTGAAGCTAATGAACAGTAAAATCTTACTGTTTGCTATGCAGACCTCAATGAAAGCATTTACTGTGAGATTTCTGTTTTCTCTTTTCCCAAATAATGACATTTTCCCAAGTTGCTGCCTTTTGAATCACTATCTATACATTTAATGCATTTTTGGTATTATATGATCCTTCAAATCACCAAATTTAAGACAGTACAGTAAGGAAAATTAATGATCAAAAATGCCAGTTGTTCTAACATCATCATAATATTATTTCATTACATATAGTAACACTGATGATTGCAATCTTTATTTAATAATAATAATTAGAAGTCCAGCACTGATGGCTCACATCTACAATCCTTGCTACTAAGAATTCATTTTTGTTTTTCCCTTGTTGACCTTGGTCATTGCTACATGGCTTGTTTGAAGGAACAATTGAAGCATTGTTCTTCATCTTAAGGATTTGAACACACCTATGATTTATGGTACATATCTTTATAGTATTGTCATGTTTGTAGTTTCAACCTTTATACTCTTGTCATAATTAATGAAATACTTCTGTTTTTATCCTTTCTAGGTTCAGCTCAGCTACTATTCGATAAGACCAGACTAGTAGAATACACCAGTTGCAATGAAACCGTTGTCATCCCGTGCTTTGTCACTAACGTGGGAGCACAAAACCCTGGGGAAATGTTTGTGAAGTGGAAATTCAACAGAACATACATTTTCATCTATGATGGCAGCCGAAACAATTCTACTGCAGATAGCAACTTTTCTAGTGCCAAAATCTCGGTCTCAGAATTAATCAAAGGAGATGCATCTTTGAAGTTGGATAAGGCTGATGCCGTTGTAGGAAACTATACATGTGAAGTAACAGAATTAAGTAGAGAAGGCGAAACAGTTGTGGAACTAAAGTATCGTGTTGGTAAGTGATGTCGTTTGGAGATTGTTTATCCCCTTTGAAACTTGTATTGAAACTTGAATGTCACTGTGGCAGTTTGGGGAAACGGGGCCTGGAAGAGGTGGTTACATCATTGAGACAGTTAAGCCTTTCTCAAGGGAATGAGTAAGTCATACGGGGGGGGGGTGTTGTAAAGCAAGCCCCCACCCCTGTGCTATGCACTGGCTTCCTATTCTGTCCTTCTCCATGTGATGAGGCAACACAAGGCTTTTAGAGCTGGACAGATTTGATGCCAGTCTCTGACTTCTCAGCTTAAGAACCATGAGCCTTGGGCTGGGATGTAGCTCAGTGGCAAAGCGCTTCCCTAGCAAGTGCAACGTCCTGGGTTCGATCCCCAGTACCAAAAAAGAAAAGACAAAAAAAATACAGTTTAAAAAAAAGAACCATGAGCCAAAGTAAAGCTCCCACCCAGTATTCTGTCCTCACAAAGAAAATAGACTTAAGGAAGATAGGAAGATTTCTATGGACATTCCTTTTTATTTCTCCTGCTACATCTGACACTATTAGAAAGTAAGCAAAATGGAACTAGAAACTCCTTTGAACCTAAAAGCACACTGTTAACAGTAAGTGCTGATGCAGTAATTAGCACCCCTTTAACATGAATTCTATCTTATTTGCTCCTCTGCTTTCACAATAAAATCTATTGAAGGTTTGTTCATTTGTATATCCTGTGGTTCTCAAACTCTTGAGCTGAGGACTCTTCTGTTTGGTTGCTGGATCCTGGGTAATCTACTCTGTATTTCCATTGATGCCATCAAAAGTAACTTTTGGGCCTCTTTTCAGTTAACCACTTTCAATTTTAATTTGTTTTGCTTTGTGTAAAGCAAATTAAACAAAAACTGGGTGAGGGTTGTGGAAGTCCAACTCCCGGTACAGGGAACGGATGGAGGAACAGGAGATTAAAGATGAGGTTATTGTGATGATTCCTGGAGGCTTCTGGGCTAATCCTTTCTCTTGGTGTTCTTTTCCTTAACCAAGATACAGGAGAAGGACTAGGAATCCAACTGAACTGGGCATTGGCTTGGTGTTACACACTGAATCTACCCTCTGTAAACTAAGGGTTGGTGAGTTGGTAAAGCAACAATATTAGCTGAAGTTTTCCTTCATATTTGTTTCATCCTGTGCTAGCTTAAACCATATACCATACACAAGGACATTCTGACTTTTTTGTGGGGGGAGAGAAGGACTTAAACTCTGGGCCTAGGCACTGTCCCTGGACTCTTCAGGTCAAGGTGAGCACTCTATCACTTGAGCCACAGCGCCACTTCCAGTTTTCTGGTAATTAAATGGGGATAAGAGTCTCACAGACTTTCCTGCTCAGGCTGGCTTTGAACCTCAATCCTCAGATCTCAGCTTCCTGAGTAGCTAAGATTACTGGCGTGAGCCACCGGCGCCCAGCATCATTCTGACTTTTTTAAAGCTCTGTTTAGAGTCACCAGGGATTACTGGTCTTGCGATTGACCATACTTTGAGAACCAAGATTCTCTAGGTTCTAGAATAGTTCAGTTGGGTAATCTCGTTTTCTTCTGTCCTGGCTTTTATTGTTATAAAATGTCTGTTTGCAGATTGGGAATTGGTATTTAAATTTAATTTGGTGAAATATTTTGACATAGCTTGAGTCTTGAAGCAGGAGTTCTGAATAACATATTCTTTTTGGCAACTTAACCCATTCACCTATCTGATCCCAAGCAGTTACTACACTGAGTGGCCTCATCATGAACTGAGGATGAAAGTGCAGCTGGTTTTATGATCTACTGAATCCAGGCAGCAAATGAGATCCTTCCTGTGGAAATTCTTGGCAAACCTATGTGTGTGTGTTGAAAATGTTGTTTGTTTTCCTAGGATATTTATTTTATCAGCTAGCAAATTGCTGAAGCTTCCTGGAATACAATATTGGAAGATTGAGAAATGGATAGGGGCAGACCAATAGACAAGGAGAATTTGGAAGGCTTCTCTGCTCAGAAGTGTCACTCACATTATATTACTACCATTGATATTTGGGTCAAGGAACGCTCTTAAACATGTCCCTTTGAGGAGGGTTCTAATCCGTCAGCTATATACACTAGGATGGCTAGAGGGAGACATTCTTACCTCTAGTGGAAGTTTGGTTAGAGACCTTGCAGTCTCAAGGGACTGAAAGAACAAGACATGGGGATTGGTGACTTGGGAGGTGATGTGAGGGACTGCTAATAAAAAATAAGAGAATTAGGGCTGGGAAGGTGGCTCAGTGGTAAAGAGCTTGCCTTGCATGCATGAGGCCCTGCGTTCAATTCCTTAGCACCACATAAGCAGGAAAAAAAAGCCAGAAGTGGAGCTGTGGCTCAAGTGGTAGAGTGCTAGCCTTGAACTGAAGAGCTGAGGGACAGTGCCCAGGCCCAGAATTCAGGCCCCACGACCAGACCCCCCCCCAAAAAAAGAGAATTAAACAGCCAGACCATACAATGAAGATGTATAGAGAGGGAATGCTTGTAGCCCAGATAAAGACAACTTTTATAATTTTGTATGTAATTGTTTTTTATCTTTCTTTGCTTTCTAAATACCCTATGGAAATAAGAGATAGGTTTACTTCTGGAAGGACCATTAAAATGAAAAAATTTTACTTATTCCAGAGAATTCTACAAGAGGTGTGAGACATGGCTTTATGCCCATCGTTTTACAATAATTATTTCACAGGAAGAGTCAAAAACAAGTGCTGTGTGCCTTTCCTCTAGTTCCTGCAATGGTCACATCTTACACAACTGTAGCAGGGTCAAAACTGGGAAGTTAACAATGTGTGTCACTTCTGTGTGTCTGTATTTGTGTGACCACTACTGCCTTAGGATTTTGAGCTGTTCTGTCAGCACCACCTCGGCCTCATGCTAACTCTTTAGAACCCCCTCCCTGCAACTTCACCTACCCTTAGCCAGGAAAGCACTGATTTGTCCTCCGTATCTGTCATTTCATTGTTCAAAAATATCGATGACATTGTACAATAGATGACCTATTTCTCATTCGGCAAATGCCTTTGAGATCTAACCAAGTAGCAATAGATAATCATTAGTTTTCTTGTTTTATTTCTGGCTCATTCTTGTTTTTGTTTTTTGTTTTTCCTGCAGAATAGTAATCTATGGTGTGGGCTTATCATAGTTAGTGTATCACATGCCTGTTGCAGGTCACTTTGATGATTTCCAATTTGGGGTTGACAAATTGTGTTTTAAACAATTGTGTTCAGGTTTTTGCTTAGATGTATTCTATTTCTCTGTGATCAGAACCTATGTGTGTGTGATTATTGTGTTAAATAGTAAGTACATGCTTCGTGTTTTTAAAGAGATTGAACAGTGATTCGGAGTGCCATTCCATAGTAAAAGTAGTCTAGTTTTTCTGTCCTTGCCATGATCACTTGTCACTATTTTACAGCCATTTTTTTGCCAGTCCTAGGGCATGAACTTTGGGCCTGAGTTGATTTTTTTAACAATTTATTTTACAGATAGGGTCCAGGTTCATTGCAAGTATTACCTGGTTGGGCCAACTTTCTCTTCCTGAAAGATAACCTCTCTTTCTGAACTTTAACTAACTAGAGGTCTTAATCACATCAGGAAACACACTGTTCCAGGTGATACAAAATACTCCCGGAAAAAAATCCAACATATTGGGCTGGGAAGGTGGTGCTTACCTTGCATTCCTGAGGCCCTGGGTTCGATTCCTCAACAACATAAGCAAAAAGAAAAAAGCCAGAAGTGGTGATGTGGCTCAAGTGGTAGTGTGTTAGCTTTGAGCTGAAGAGCTGAGGGACAGCGCCCAGGCCCAGAGTTCAGGCCTCATGACCAGACCCCCCCCCAAAAAAAAAATCTAGCATATTCAGTCTCACAAATGGGAGAGTAAGGACACAAGGCGAGTCTTGGCTATATTAGCGGAGGTTTGCATAAGGAGAGACATAGTTGATTGGAGACATCCATTTATCTTTTTAAGTTGTCTTATTATAATTCAGACAAAAAGAATTGAGAGGTCCTGAGCTTGGAATAATTGGGGAGTAGGAGCTTGGGGAGTGGGAGGGCAGAGTTGTTGTCCCTGCTTGGGTAGAATACGAATGTGAGTAGCTATGATTACATTGCCTAATCCTGAGGAGGAAATATATCTTAGACTGTTCTTCAGCCATTTTGTGCTTAATTTATTTTCTTATTCCCATAGAAATTCAGAGCTGAAAGGGATCTTACAGAAGTATTGTGTCTCGTGCTCCCGTGAGAGAATACGAGTTAATATCATCTGACAATACTTCATCACAAATCAACAGCTTAATAGACATATGAGTGGTTTTATATGAAACATAGGGATCCCATCCCAGCATCTCAAATGGTTCCTTTTTGTTATTGTTTTCGGTTTGTTTGTTTTTGACAATAGGTCCCATGCTTCAACCACCTGTCTGTGATTGGAGCCATGTACAACCACATCTAGCTCAATTGATTCTTTTTTTGTTTTGCTACTCCTGGGGCTTGAACTTAGGACCTGGCCACTGTCCCTGAGCTTCTTTCGCTCAAGGCTAGCACTCCACCACTTTGAGCCACAGTGCTACCTCTGGCTTTTTCTGTATATGTGGTACTGATGAATCAAACCCAAGGCTTCATGCATGCTAGGCAAGCACTCTACCACTAAGCCACACTCCCAGTCCCTCAGTTGATTCTTAAATATACAATTCCATACTTCTCAATTTTTTTTCCTACCATGACAAATTAGAGAGAAAGGTTATACATTGTGGTAAGAGATAAACTAGCAGTGATCTGAAACTGAGATTCACGGCCACCCCGCACCTCTCCTAATGGAAGTGTGAAACTAAGATTCACAATCATCCACCACTCCTCTTAACTCCCATCAGGTAATCCTGGCATGGTCATTAAAGGGGAGAATGTATGAAGCTTGAGTAAACCCTCACATGATTTTGATGAGCTGCAGCTAAGAATCCCTTAGACAACAATATTTTGTCACACTTTTGTCTCATTGAAATATCCTCTTCTAGTTCTTATCATTTTTCCATAGAATCTGGAAGCCATCCAGTAGCCATCTGGTCTTCTTCTTTGTCAATTACTTTTCTCACCACATCCTAGGCCATTGGCCATTCCAAGTTGTTACCTACACACTTGACATGAACAGACACTGTAAAGTCTCAAGGTTTTGGTCTATTATCAGGTAGGTCCAGGTCTTCCTGATGCCCAGCTAGAATGTGTTATCCTGTAATTCTCACTCACTGGAGGGCTTCTGTATGTCTCTCAAGTTTATTCTTGTCTAGGGTAAAGTCTGCAATTATTTCAACTATTGCTGCTGGTTTCTGGATCCCAATTCTGGACTTCCTTCTTTTGAGCAATTCTCTGTTGCAACGTTAAATATTACACATAAAACTGAACTCAGGGCAGCATTTGTTGGTGACATCCTCCTACCTCTCAAGGTGATTTCTGTCATTACTTTCTGACATGTCCTGCTTCTCTGTGATCCATTCTCTGTATGACTGCCAAATTTTCTTTGAAGTCACTTATCACTGCTCTTAGAATAAAACCCAAATCCTCTGAACAAGCTGTGAAGATCCAACACAATCTTGCTCCAGCGTACCCTCACCGCCTGATCCCGCATCACTAAATTCCAGACACAGTGGCCATCATCTGGCTCTTTGAACTGTTCTTCGTTTGGCTAAATCCATTTTACCCACGACTCATCTCCAGTTCTCCCCCCTGGGGTCTTTTTCCAGGGTCTGTTTTTCCACTCCAACACCACCTGGAGTTCAGGGCCACTTATTGCTCACTCACTGGTTACCTAGAGGAGATCCTACCTGTGGTAGATTTTCAATGAATGCTCATTGGTTGAATAAAAAATTGTATGATGGGCTAGAGTGGAAAAAATCATTGGTTCATAGGTTTCTATTAATACATCCCAAGACTGTTTCATTGTGTAGGGTGAGAAGTCAGTGAAAAGATATTTCACTGTCAACACATCTTGAATATGAGATCAGACACTGGCTGAAGGTAGAACCAACCCAAATAGGTGTGGATGTGAGAGAAAATGAGTGACTGGAGAAATGGAGTCACCACTATGAAATGAGGAAACTAAGAGGAGAGGTTGGTGGATGAGTTAAGAGGAGGATAATGAGAATGAGTTTGGAATATGAAAGCATATGATCCTTACAGTTCTCAATTCCCCCTGCCTCTGTTTCCTCATCTTTGAGTTCTCATTATTATGAGGATTTGAGAGGAGACAACTCAAAGCAAAATACAGAAGAAGTGGATAAGTAGAAATAAATTGATTAAGCAGAGTTATTAGGTCATGGAGGTTTTGAGTTTTGGTTATGAAAACCTAAGTCTCAAGTAAAAACGTTCCCTGATTAGTTTTAGGCTGTACCGAGTAGATGTTGTTTTTTACAGGATGGCGTCCAGTAATGAAGCTAGAAATTAAGCTATTGATTTAGAATATCTAAGAACATCTCTGTCTGTATAGATAGTCATCATATGAGCATCAAAAAATCATTTTATTCATCTGCTCAACATCTTCTGACTATTGTAATCTTTACCAGCAAACACGGTGGGTCTCTGTTCTGGGCAGGGCAAAATGGCAGATTCTGAAAAGCTAATATCACCACAATAAAATTTATAATGTGAGCATTTACTGGATTTAACATCATACACTTTGTATGGGAAATACATGGCTGTCATTATCGAGTTGAAACCCCATGGAGCTCCTCCCAGGCTGATGCTGAGGGCAGGGAAGGGAAGGATTGAAGGGAGAGGGGGATTTTCAACAGCAGTACTTGCTCAGGACTGTGTCCAAAGGGAAGCTTCAGGGAGTACATCTCCCCTGCCCAGGTAGATGTTCCAGTGCATGTACTTGGCTTTGTTGTTAGAGAAGAAATCTCATACAGCCTTAAGGGCTTATGAGATGGAATTAAACGTATTGTGTTAAGTTTCAACAAATCTTATTTGAAGTCTTAAAATCACAATTTCCTTTATACTAGATATGTAGATCTATTTTACTCTATGAGTAACATATGACCCACTTTACAACAGTTCCTTAATAAGCTAACCCCTCTCATATTTGTATGAGTGTTTCTGAAGCCTAATTATTCACAAATAAATCATCTGTTTCAGAGACAGGTTGAAAGATAGTGGAGCTCATCTCTCTTGGTCTTACTCAGAGTAAGGGGAGGGACACAGTGGTCCCAAAAGCTCACTCTGTGTCCCCTGTCCATTGCTGCAGACACACTTCAGTGTTAGAGGTAACCTGGGCACTTAATATTGAGCATCCAGCACAGAGTAATACTTTCAGTTATTAGTGACTTGGTGAGAGCCCACTTTTGTTTTAAACCGTAGGCTATGTTAACCATGTCCAAGTTCCAAGAGTCCTTCAAGGTGGAGGTTGTTATTTCTGGGTAGCACCTGAGGACACTGAACATCAGAGGTGTGTTCAGCTGCAGATTGTGCAAAAAGTCAAGTTTCACACTCGGGCAGCATGGCTGTAGAATTTTATTCCCAGCTGCTGTACTGTGCTGTCCTTCATGACATGCGGGGTGGAGAAATGGGGTGAGAAATACTTAGGTAATTGCAGCTTTGGGTAGCCTAAGGAACAGTTATTATATGAGTACTGTGTGTGTGTGTGTGTGTGTGTGTGTGTGTGTGTGTGTGTGTAATTGGTTTTCTGTGTGTGTGTGTGTGAGAGAGAGAGAGAGAGGGCAAACTAAACCCATAGGTTTAGTGAGCCTTTCCTGTATATAAAGAAAAATGTATTTGAGACCCTTATCAGTATTTAAAGTGATTATACTCAACACTAATGGTGATTTTTGTTCTTTCTCCTCAGTTTCCTGGTTTTCTCCAAATGAAAATATTCTCATTGTTATTTTCCCAATTTTGGCTATACTTCTGTTCTGGGGACAGTTTGGTCTTTTAAGTAAGTATTTATTTCTATTTTTCATTTGTGTTTGGTGATGAACTTGTTATTTCTAGCAGGCAATGTGCCTGAAATGTTCTGTGTAAGTTCATTGTGTTAGGATGCGATTATTGTAATAAATAGGAATGTGCAGTTGGAATGTTAATAGTCTTCTGGAAGCATGTAGTATTCTGTAGTTTGCTGAAGTCCACTGATCTCCTAAAGAAGGTGACTTTTTGATAAGTGGCTGTTCCATTTCATCTATGCAGCACAAATGGTGGTCTGGCCACAAAGGACTTACTTATGTAATCCTGGATACTCAGGAGGTGAAGATATGAGAATCTCGGTTTGAAGCCACCCTCGGCAGGAAAGGTTGTGAGATTTGTATTTCCAATTATCCAGCAAAAAGCTGGAAGTGGAGCCATGGTTTATGTGGTAGAGTGCTAGCCTTGAGTGAAAAAGCTCAGGGACAGTACTCAAGCCCTGAATTCAAGCCCTAATACCGGCACCAAAAAGAAGAAAAAGAAAGTAAAAGAGTACATGTTGGAAACCTTAAGCCCGCACATCATTTTCAAACTTACATGTGTCGTCTTGTCTGGCACAGAGATAGTATGCAGGGCTTGGCTTGAGTGAGGATTCTCTGGTGCTTTAGGATGCCCCTAGCCTGGCTTCCCAGAGTGACTTTCTTCGTAGACTTCTGTTCACCTGTGGAAAGGCCCCTGTTTCATCATGCTAATCCTTGATGCAGCTGGGGAGAGCTGTGTTCTTTCATCTCCATTTGCCAAGATAGTCATCTAGCCAAACCCTGAGGGCAAATGTCCATGCTCTACCAGATATAGTACCAGCAGTCTGGAATTGTTATCAGAAGGTAAATCATTCCATGCATTTTGGGGTTAATGTTTATACTCAGCCATATTTCTAAGTTTGTAAAGGAAATAGATTAATTAGTGAAGTACTGAGGTGTCAGTTTAAACTTTTACAATATCAGATGTATTTGTACACTGGCTGTTGCTTCCTGAAGCAGACATTGAAGGCCAGAAAACAACCATACAGGCAAGGAGTAAATGGAGCTGATTTAATTTATTCTGCAATCTTTAGGAAAGTGAACACCATAGTGGATGGGCCTGTTGTAAATAAAAGAAGTTTCCTTTCATTGGGAGTAGAAGCTGTGTGCATCCTCAGTGATACATAGAAATGGAAGAGAGATGGCTGATGTATTTTTGGAGCTTTTTAAATCAATGTACAGCACTCTGGAAATACTCTTTCCAGATACATTCTCAACCTGAGTCTACAATGCAAAAAGGGGGGAAAAAGGCTGATAGTGGCAACTGCCAAGACATTTCAAAATATTACCTTCAAGATAGTATCTAGCCTTTCCTCAGAAGTTACCTTAGGATGTCTGTAAGCCTTGTATTTGAAGAAAAGGATTGGTAAACACTAGGGTCTGCTCAGTCATCATCAGTGTTAAGGAGATATTTTTTTTTACTATACTGGAGAAGCCAGAGCTCTAAGGGCTAAAACGTTAGGCAGGGAACTGCTTTTTATGTGTATGTGTGCTATACTTGGACTTGCACTCATGACCCCCAGCTTTTACTTGGATTTTTTTTTCTACCCTCACAGCTGGCACTCTACCACTTGAGCCACAGTTCTACTTCTGACTTCTTCCTGGTTAATTGGAGATAATCTCCTGAGTAGCCACTACTATAAGCACCAGCCATCAGTGCCTGACAGAGCAGCCTTTTTGTTAAGATCATAAAACTATTTCACATTCACGTGATTTGATTGGGTTAGTAGAACAAATCTACTGATCCTGGCATTATCATTAATGACATTGTATTTGGTAGACTGAAAAATGTGGCTACATTTTTTGCAAAGTAAACTTGAACATTTTTCCTGAGTTAAAAAATTAATACAGGCCAGACTCCAGTGGCTCACATCTGTAATCCTAGCTTCTCAGGAGGTTGACATCTTATAATCGCAGTTCAAAATCCACTAGGGCAGCAAAAAATCAGAAGTGGAGGTGTGGCTCAAGTGGTAGAATACTAACTTTGAGGGAAAAGCTAAGGAACAAGCACCCTGGCTGAGTTCTGAATTCAAGCTCCATTACTGGCACAAACCAAAAAGTAACGTATTTTCTGTGTATTGATGGGAGTTGATTCCAGGATCTCACTTGTATAAAATACACAGCATTCCATTAACCTACATATCCATTTGTGTGTTTCAAACATCTATAGATTACTTTCAGTACCTCATGAAGTGTAAATGCTTTACACATATTAGTTATTTTATGTTATTTAGTAAGTAAGGACAGGGAGAAAACTCTGTTACATGTGCTACATATATATATATCTTTTATTTTTAATATTTCAATTTACTCGAGATTGAATCTATTGGTACGGAACTAACAGACACTGAGGGCAAGCCATGCGTATCACTTTAGAACAGATTGTCCAATCTAGAAAGTTACAGGAAAAAATATCATCTAGAGTCTCTATACTTAGAAATAAACTATTGATATCATCTAGTGAATTTCCTACTTCCTTTTGTTTCTTTTTCTGTTCTTGTTTCCTTTAAAAAAGAAAAAAAAGAAAATGGTAAATGGATTCTCGACTTATGTACTTGTACCTCCCCATTTTTCTTGTTATGATTACTTAGCTCACCTTGATGAGTGTTAAAATGGTTTCCAATCCATTTGATACTCTAAAAGTAACTCCACTGAGGGTGTGTGAGCTAGAGACAGCAATGATGTTTCAAGCCACTAGATACTCCCACAGCGTGTTCCAGAACCTTTGTGTCATTACTAGGACTGCACACAAGTGTACCTGCCTTTCACTTCACAGTCCTGACCGAGTCACACTTCTAAATCCTTTGCTGATTTTCTGGGTGAGAAAAGATCTTATTTTAATTTCCACTTTTGTCTTGGTGAGTTTGAATTTTTTTGTAGCTTTTCTACCACTCATAGTTCAAGGAATGTGTTTATGAACCAAAAAAGTATTTTGATGGAAATTTTTATCCTGACTCGTCTTAAAACAAGTAAATGTGGCTTCTGTGTGTAGAAGCAGAACCTCTATACTTGATTTTTGCTGCCTGGATTCACATTTAAAGGTGACGATTGCGAGGGTAGCTCTCTGATGGATAAGCACCAATGCCATCTGCTCTACACCTTACCTCACATTCATTTCTTTGGGAGCAGGTGCTATAGTTATTCCCATTTTGTAGACAAGAAACTGATGCAGTCACACAACTCTTTCCTGTAGTCCTGGGGTTTGCAAGTGCTATTTACCATTGTTCTGTCCTGCCTGCCCCATGTGAATACAACCATGAATGGATGCAGCTGTTAGTGATAGAGCCGAGTGTTGACCTTATTTGTTTCTTTATTCTACTGGCACAGTGCTGGGCTCAGGGATAAATGCTTGCTGTGTGGAAGTGAGCCACATTGCCACCTCTGGCTTTGCCTCACATGTCAAACCTCATAGCGGAGGAGACCCGTGTGTCTGGTGCCTGATTAGGATCGAACTTTTCTTTTGGTGCACCTCTCGTCTTACACAAACACATCCTGGTTATGGTCTAGGCATCTTTGGAGATATCTATTTCTCCTGAACTTTTCCTGACCACTATTTATGACCGTTCTTGGCTACCATTTTCTCTCAGTGGTTTTACTAGCTCTACATGTCTTTGTGGTCCAGTAGGAAAGCTAGTCCTTTGCTAGGCTAAAATTTCCCTAAAGAGAGCAAATCAAGTCCTTACTTTGAGAAGCCTTTCCTCACACTGGAGCTGTGCCTAGCATTGGGTCTCAGGAAGGAAGAAGCCTGGGAGGACTTCTCAGCCTCTGGAACATGCCAGTACTTGGCAAGCCCCAGACCACATTTGGAAAACAAAGTTCTCTTAAAATGAAACTGTTACTAAATATTTTTGCCTCAGGCTCACAAACATTTAAGACAAGTCTTGCTGCTTAGCAAATAAATCACATATCACCAGCATCAAATACTGAAACTGAACCAAGAGTGTTGCTTTCTGACACTTTGTTTTTGTTCTGAATTGAAGTGACTCAGAGTTTGTCACTCCACTAACACTAACTTCAATAATTAAGTCCCAAGCTGCTTTGCAGGGTCTTCTTTCTTATTCTGTAATATCATAACAGGCTCTGTCATTTAGGTGGCTGATAATTGCAAATGCTGCCCACCTTGTCCTCTAGCTCCTGAGAGGTTGAGATCCAGTGAGAAAAAGAGCTTGCTGATATTCTGTAGCTCTCTGTCATAGGCCTTTATTCCTTTTTTCCCTTTCCTTGAATTTTTGTTGCATGTAGAAAGCTTTGCTGCTTTGCATAAAACTGAGATCATGAACATGTCTACATAAAAGGAAACTTTGCAGTTTACTAATGAACTGGAAAACATTGCTGTATAAACTCTTTGTCAATACATAAAAAAATGAAAACTAATATTTAGTCCACAGTAAATCAAAGCATTAAAACCAGGGGGAAATTTTCTCAATCATAGTTCAAACAGTGTAGGATTCCTGTTGTATAACTTTGGATACAGGGCAATCATTGTTTCTGTACCTAGGTGAGTTATCAGACTACTTCCTAAGTTTGGATTCGCTGCCAGTGGTTTACCCTTTGCTCTTTCAGCTTCATGAAAACAGTCTGGGAATGCCTTTGATTTGCTGGGCTCTTGTGATTTTTGATTTCTTTGCTAGAGTCACTTCCTCTGGGATAGCTTCATTCTATTTGTCATTCACCTCTCAGTGGCCTCATTCATGCTGGTGACTTCACCTGCACTGAGCTGCTCTGGCTGCGCCTTGAGAGGCTCCCACATAGCAATAGTGTCCGCTTACCCACAGTAGCTGATTTTCTGCGACTCCACTTAGAGTCTATTCAGATTTCACACTCAGAATTCTTTCTTCTTTACTGTTAGTTTGTTGGTTGTTTTTGGTTTGGGGTTTTGGCAGTCAGTACTAGTGTTTGACCTGAAAGTCTTTCACTTGCTAGATAGATGTGCTACTGCTATACTCCTAAGCCACCC